TTTTAATTTACTGTAATAGCACTATCTTTTCCCACAACAAAATGCATCTTTCAGAATTAAGAAAGATAGTATTTGTTCAAAAACATAGATGGCCAGAATTCTATTCACAGTTTCAAACAAGGACCCCAGCTTTACAGCCACCGAAACAGCTCACATGAAGCAGTAGTCTATTCCTAACACACAACACTTAGTCTGTGAGTCTGGTGTCCCTGTCAAAGCCAGAGGAACCTTCGGAATTATACAGCTCTTAATACTGTTTTGGAAAACAAACCCATCAGTGGCTCCCTATGCTGAAGAATGAAGTCCTACTGAGCAGACTGCATTGCCAACACACTCAGAAGCCTGCCCTTCCCTGTCTACTCCTACCTGTCCTCCAGTCAGTCCCTGCTGGCAGGCTGGCCCTGGTCTCCCCAGAATGTCTTCCCTACCTCCAGGCTCACAAGAGAATCCAGATCCTTCTAAACTTTTAAGTCCTACTGAAAATTCCTAAAAAAAAAAAAAAAAAAAAAAAACCAAAAAACTCCAAACTACATGTTTGTTCCCTGTCTCTCTTGGCAAGTTTCCTGAATAGAGGTTCTGACCAGGTGTGGTAGGTAGTACATGCCTACAATTCCAGCACTTGAAAGATGGAGGAAGGAAAATCAGGAGTTCAGGCTATCCTTGGCTACATATTGAGTTTGAAGCCAGCCTGGGCTACATGAGACCTTGTTTTAAAAACAAAACAAGCAAAGAAAGCTTCATCATATATGTTTTAGTTTTTAAAAACATATTATTCCATGGATTTGTTCATCTTAAAAATCAATACTAAGTAACTGTTGAGTAACCACTATAAAATCCATGCTACTCTTGGCATTGGTTTACAGCACAGAACAAAAATGATATCATCTCTACTGCAACAGTGCTTACACTTCCATGTAAGCAAAATGAACTATTAGGCATCAAATTTCCCACTGCTAACCAATTAGGTCATCTTTAGCTTTTACTATTATAGTAATACTATTGTGAATATAGTTATAACACAGCTTTGTTCTCCCTGGGATTGTTTACTTAGAGCCAGTTCCCAAAAGTACTATCATCAAATCAATAGCCTTGGATATGTGTATGGCTTTTATGACATGTACAACCATATTGCTTCAAATGAGTTGTCCCAATTCAAAAAGTAATGTGTGCCTATTTGGTTCCCCATAGACCTCTTATTGTTGTTCAATAAGAAAAAATTATTATTGTTTTAATTTCCAATGAGGTTCAACTCTTTTCCTTATGTCTATTTATTCTATGTTGTCTATATTCCAATGGGAATGTCCTATACTTGCTAAAATCTTTTTATACAACAGTAACCATTTAAGGTCACATTTGGAAAGACTTTTAAAAAGTTTTAATTATACAAATTTCTTTATTAAAAATGTGCTTCACTGTATACAATCACTGCTTTACAGTTTTCTTATTTTAGATGCCTATTTTTTATATGGTTATACTAGCTTTTCAATTTTAAAAAGTTAACCATAACATCTGTATCTGGACAGGCTCAACACTACATTTTCTAACTGCTATTTGATTATTCTAAAATACAAGCAATTACACCACTGACAGATTTTATGATTATTGTTATTAAGCCCCTAAATGACATTTCCTCAGTTTTAAAGAGAATTACTTTTCTTAACATAGGAAGATGCTGAATCTCAGAAAGGATAATCAAATTAAAAAGGTGAAAGAGGACACTGTAAAAATGCCACTGTCTCCTGTGTGTAAGCCGATGGGACTCCCTACCCTTTGTTACATCCATCTAGGACCATGGATGCCGAGAGCTTAGGTAAACTCACATGCAGTTGGATTTTAACTTAATTTGAAAGCCTGATTTATTTGAAATAGTTTTCAGAAAGACTGAATCATGATAGAGCACTAAAATAAAAAGCTATTGTGATGCAAAAGTTGTCTGTTGCAAGCCAAGCAAGGGCAATTAAAGGCACTAGAAATTGTGCAGTCTCTCAAAATAGACCACAGAATTATCAGTGCTGCGCGATATTGATGTCACCAATCTGCATTTTATCAAATACTATCACCCAAGTGCTGGATATCAATCTGTTAGAAGTCTCCAGCTGACTGAAAAAGGAAGCTATTTAATTCATGGTTTCTCTATAGAAAACTGAAACTGTGATTTTAGCCAAAAAAGAAAAGCAGTTAAATTCCAAGAATTTCCCGAATTGCTGAGATTTATCCAGAAAATTATAATGTGTGAAGAGATTAGTAAAGCAAACACAGGTGAGGGAAGGCAGTTTGTCAGAATGTGGAAAAGAACTGAACTCAGTCTTAGGGTTCCAGAGAAGATGGCTATGGATGAGCATACACTGCTGTCAGCAAAGCTTTTGAACAGTTTTTAAGCCTGTAAAAAAAATCAACTGAATGTACCAGGCTCAGCTGTCCCCCCAGGGGAGAACTTACCCTGTTGGAGGAGGGGATGGGGAGGGGGGGAGTGGGAGGAGGGATGAGAGGGGGATCTGTGGTTGGTATGTAAAATGAATTTTAAAAATTAAGAAAAAAATACATAGGCATCTTAGTCTCTTTTCCCGCTAGTGTGACACACTACTCTGACAAAGCAATTCAAAGGAGAAAGGAGTCGTCGTGGCAGATGATCCCAGGTGTGGTCCGTCACGGCAGCAGGAGTTTGAAGCAGCCAGGAAGAGACCAGAGCACAACACAGAATGATCAGAAAGCGAGTCCAAAATACAGCAGGCAGGCAGGCAGCACATCCCACCCCTCCAAGTCCAACACCTGGGGCTTGTGACAGAAGAGCCCCAGAAGAGCCTCCTGCAGTAGCACACGGAGTCTCTCTTACACACTCTGTCTTCGGCTCTTCCTGGTGGAGAGCTCATGGTTCTGACATCTCTACCATCCTGGAGTCTCTACTGCAACTTGGACTTCACGTTCACAATGCTCTCTCAAAGACCGTTTCTGAAGGGACTCCGGTCCTGCTACTTATCACCTGGCCTCAGCTGCTTTCTGAAACCATGGCACAAGCAAGACTCCATGACCCTTAGGATCTTGTACCATTCGTGCCTCACAAAACAGCGCCACACCAACAACGCTTAGTTCTGCAACCAGCTAGATGTGTGGACCAAGTTGCAGTAGAGACTCCAGGATGGTAGAGATGTCAGAACCATGAGCTCTCCACCAAGAAGAGCTGAAGACAGAGTGTGTGAGAGAGACTCCGTGTGCTACTGCAGGAGGCAGAACTGGGGCTCTTCTGTCACAAGCCCCAGGCGTTGGACTTGGAGGGGTGGGATGTGCCACAGCTTCTGAGTGCTCACCCTGCCATCTAGGCAGCTGCTGTTGGGAAGCGGGGACCCCTTCAGTTTGGGCTTTCTTCCTTCACATGAGTTTAGATGTTACAGCTGCTCTCTCAGAATCAACCTGAATGCTTATCTGTCCTGAAATTTCCTGTCAAATTTTAGGGCACAATCTATTAAGTTCAATTTTACTCATGTTCTCAGGACATGGGCAGAATGAAACCAGATTCTTTTTTTTAAAGAGAAAGCCAAGAGGTCAGAGCTCAGAGCTAAAATCTTACCCTTCCTCCTGCGGTGCTCATAGAAACCAGATTCTTGGCCAAACTATCATGCATGTGACCCTGGTTCCTGATAGAGTCCTTGTTCTCCTCCAAAACCTCAAGAGGCAGGCCTCTGCTGTCTGTGTTTGCCTCGGCATTCTTATCTTCCAAGCTCTCATCAGAATGTGCGAGCAAACTGATTACAGCATCCAATGACTTTTCTAACCCAGAGTTCCAAACTCCTTCACATGCCTCTCAAACCAGTTTCCAAGGCCTAAGAAGCACATCACCAGGTTTATCACAACCCTGCCTCACTTAGAACCAGTTTCCTTTCCTGTTGCTGTGAGAAAATACTCTGACCCAAACAGCTTCAGGAAGAAAGGGGTTCTTGTAGCTCACAGATCCATGTACAGTTATGGTAGAAAAGGTAAGGCCGCAGGAGCCTGAGGCAGCTGGTCACACTGCATCCATTATCAGGAAACAGAGGAGGAAATGCAAATGTGTGCTCAGCTAGTTTTCTCCATTTTATACAGTCTAGAATCCCCTGTCCAGGGAATGTTCCACCCACAATTTAGATGAGTTTTCCAACATCACTTAACAAAATCAAGACACCCACTAACAAGCATGCTCAGAGGTCGGTCTCCCAGGCGGTTACAGATTCTGTCGAGTTGACAGTTAGCACTAATTGCCACAATTTCAAATCTGTGTCATCTATGATGACCAGTGGGATTGAAAACTGACTTGCATTTATGACTATATGAATCTACATTATTCAGTTACTCGTTTGTCCATTCATTTCTGGTTTGAGAATACCATGACCAAAGAAGCAGCTCACAAAATGTAAGACACAATGCATAAAGATCAAATTGTTTGCCAGGTGTCTTTAATCCCAGCACTTGGGAGGCAGAGCCAGGCGGATCTCTGTGAATTCGAGGCCAGCCTGGTCTACAGAGTGAGCTCCAGGAAAGGCACAAAGCTACACAGAGAAACCCTGTCTCGAAAACTAAAAACAAAACAAAACAAATTGTTGTGATTCCAAAATAAATAAATAAATAAATAAAATAAAATAAAATAAAATAAAATAAAATAAAATAAAATAAAATAAAATAAAATACATGAGGAGTGAAGAAAATTCAACCCAACTGAAAAATTACTGACCACCAGTGAAGTAACTAAGTAGCAAAAAAACACAGTCAAGAAAAATCTCATAACATTGAATAAAAAACATCTGAGAAAAAAGCTAATAAATAAGGGTCTTAATTCACCAAAAAATAAAAGTAATAAGAACTTTCAAACATCATGTAGTACTTGACCAAGGTCAAAATGTCCTATTTGTGTGTTTGCATATGTGTCCATTCTGGGGACTGAACCAGAGTATTGCACAAGTTAATCAAAAGCTTATCACTGAGTTACACCCTGCCCCAGTCCTGGATCCTTTGTTCATTAAGATTCCAAGGCCTGAGGCACAGGAAACCAGGGATTTCTATTACTCAGTTACAGGTAAGTCAATACCGGAAGTACTGAGAACTTGCCAACTGCTCTTCTGACTTCTCTTTCTTAGGTCCACATATTTTTATATTTTAATTTTTTATTACAATTTTACATATGTATGCTTTGTATACTGACCATTCTCTCTTCTTACCTCCTTAGCACCCTTGTCCACCAGTCTCTCTTTGCCAGTCTCTCTAGAGCACTCACGCCTATTTATTTGATCTTATGACCTACCAAGATCAACCAGGCCCAGTGACTGAGTTTGGAGCTATGAACCATGGTGGGATCTGCAGAGAGCAGACAACTAAAGACGGTGACTCCTCCTGTCCCAGAATCTATCAACTAACCAATAGTTCGGAGGGTAGGTAGGGCCTACAAGCCCCTCCTGCTTCCTTGACTGACTGTTGATACAGCTGGTCTTCCATGGGCCCAGTACAGTAACTCTAGATGATGGGAGCTAATGATTACAGTAGCTGTGTTGAGTCTGTGGCATTTTGTAGTCTTTCACCCCATATTCTGGTTCTTACATACTTCCTATTCTATAACACAGTGATCCCTGAGACTTAGAGGGGGTAGTATAATTGACTTGCTCGAGGCTGGGTGTCCACTGGTCACTTATTTTCTGCTTCTTGATTAGGTCCACATCTTAGCCCACAGTAGAAGAAACTGGAAAAGATGATCATGAATTTCCACAAACTGCCATGATGGAGTGACAGGGACCCAATGTATCTTCTCAGATTAGACCACCAGAAAACTGAGTAAGACAAATGAACAACATTTGGTTTTTGTCTGGCTGTTGCTGTTATTGGTATTGCTGTTGCTGCTGCTGTTGTTTTGAGGCAGGCTCTCTCTATGTAGCTCCAACTGCCCTGGAACTCACTATGTAGACCAGATAAGTCACTCTTGTTAGGATTCTGCCCTCACTCCAGTTCAGGGTCTGGCGTCTTACATCATCAGTGTGTATTGGTGACTACGTATGCGCCTTAAAAGCCGGACACAGTCCCTACCCTTTATCTCTGCTCTCTGCTCTCTCTCTCTCTCTCTCTCTCTCTCTCTCTCTCTCTCTCTCTCTCTCTCTGCTCTGCCCTGCTCCCTCCTACCCTCCCCCCACCATCTATCTCTCTCCAGGCCTGGCTCTCCTCTTTTCCCTCTCCCTCCCTTTTTCCTCCTAATAAAGCTCTGAAAACTAACACTGGGTTCTGTCTTGACTTTGACCTTTCCACGTGGTAACCAGAGCCGCGTGTCACAACCAGTGCCGTTTATCATCCTTTCAACTCTCACTTATTAATACTCATCAAGGAGGCTAGCAGATGGCCTGCCCAGTAAGGTGCTTGCCAAGCAAGCATGAGGAACTGAATTCAGATCCCCAAACTCACACAAATGCCCAGCTGTGGCAGTGTACGTCTGTAATCCCAATGCTGGAGAGGCAGAGACAAGAGGGTCTCTGGGTCTTGTTGGTTCTCTAGTCTAGCAGAATTGGTAAACTAGAGGTTCATTGAGAGGCACTGTCTCAAAAAAATAAGGTAGAGAGCTACTGAGGACGATATCTGACAACTTCTGACCTATACACACACTTGAGCATATGTTGCACACATACATATACACACACAAAGAAAATCCCTCATGTACATTAGCCAACATCTCACATGCCATTAGGGCCTTTGTAGGAGAGAATAGTCCTACTTCCTTTTCTTTTCCTCTCTCATTACAGGTTTTTTGCCTTGGCATTTTATCTCAAAAACCATGCCATACCACACTGTCTTCAGAGCACTTTCCAGAATTACTAAACTTGTTTATTTGCTTGTCTGTTATTCCTTATCAGATCCACCAGAAGCTTCTCTGTCCCTGTGATGTTGGTATACCAGCATGATACAGAGCTGACTTTCCTTGACTTCTTGAATGAACTAACAGGAAAAACATAGCTCCCTAGAAAAAGAAAATCACTTGCTGAGCCAGGTATACTGGAGCACACCTACAATCGAAGAGCTTGGGAGGGGGAGGCAGGAAAATCAGAAATTTAAGGCCAGCCTCTGCTACACAGTCAATTGAAGGACGGCCTGTGCTACATGAGGTCCTGTCTAAAAAAAAAAAACAAACAAAAATGAAATAAAAACAACCCTTCTCTGGACTTTTCAGAATTTTATAGCATTAATTGGGTATATTTTCAGCTTTTTATAATCAGTAATATATTTCTCACCATAGACATTATATAGTACTTGAAAGTGTAAAAGAATTCACCAGCAAAACAATCTAGCCCTAGAATCAACTTATGAAGAAAATCCCTTTAAACTTCCTACCATGATTTTAGTTTTCCCAGATCTTCTTTCTTTCTTTCTTTCTTTCTTTCTTTCTTTCTTTCTTTCTTTCTTTCTTTCTTTCTTTCTTTCTTTCTTTCTCTTTCTTTCTTTCTCTTTCTTTCTTCCTTCCTTCCTTCCTTCCTTCCTTCCTTCCTTCCTTCCTTCCTTCCTTCCTTTCTTTCTCTCTCTCTCTTTCTTTCTTTTAATCAATTTGAGTATTTCCTAATAACTTTAAGGAGACTTCACATAAATTGACACAACATTAATAGTTTTCCGTCTCACAATTTCTTATAAAAATCTTTATTTTTATAATCTCTTTAATTTTTCAATATTTCCCCTGGTATTATCTGTGATATATTTGTCTATTTTTCTTTTTTACCTCAAATCCTACTTACTTCTGTGGCTTCTGTATTGCCACTCCTTTGTCTCAGTTTGCCTTGTTATCAGCATCTTTTTCACTCAGATTTCTGTATTTTGTTGAGTTTTGTTTGTTTTACTGAATTCTATAACTGAATGTTGAGCATATTACTTTCTTCTTTACCAACAGCAAATTCAATTGGGATTATGAATTTGATTTTAAGCATAGTATTGGTCTTAACAAGAGTTCTATTCCAGCTCACTAAATAACAATTTATCTACTATTAAGTAGTTATTTTTTTTTAAAAAAATTGATTTTTCCAAATTGTTAGAGTAAACGCTTTTTAACTTTTGTTGTTACAAAAGGAATATGTATTTTCAGTTTTGTTCATTTTCTAGAATTTACTTAGTTGTCCTTGCTTGTTTGTTTGTTTTCTGTTCCACAGTCAAGTGGAAAGCATCTCTAATCTCCAATTAAAATGGAAACTTCCTACGCAATGAAAACTCCTCGATCAGTTCTACTCAGTAAGGCTCTCATGGTTCTTCCCAGTACTAAACCCACCTCTAAAGGGCTGCAGAGACAGCTCAGCAACTGAAGCACTCACTGCTCTTGCAGAGGCCTGGGGGTTTGGTCCCAGCCTCCACAGCAGGCAACGGACAAGTGCCTTTAACCCCAGTTCCAGGGGATCTGACGCCCTCTTCTGGCCTCCAAGGGATCTGAATTCACATGGAACACATAAACACATGCAGGCATGCACATACACATACACACAAATAAAAAAAATACATCTTTACAAAATCTATTTAGTATGAAGAGTAAGAAAAGCAATTCTCAATTTTGTACCAAATTTTTATGTCTACTTCATTAGATGTGCAATGGGCAAAAAAGTATTTCTTAATAGAAGAAAGCTCTGATTTCAAATCAATCATCAAGCAATTAAGCAACCAAGGCTGGCAAAGACGGCTCACTCGATCAGTGAAGTGTCTGCTGCACTACTATGGAGACCTGAATTTGGATCCTCAGCACTCTGTAAAAGCAGTGGCACTTGCTTTCACATCTGTAAGAGAAGCTGTAACCCCAGTCCCGGAGAAAAGCTGAGGGGAAACCTGTTGACCACTAGAGCTTGCTCGCTAGCCAGTGTAAGCAAATCAAAAAGCTCTGAGTTCAGTGAGAGACCTTGCCTCAAAAATAAATAAATGTAGCCAGGCAGGGGTGGCATACGCCTTTAATCCCAGCACCCAGGAGGCAGAGGCAGGTGGATCTCTGTGAGTTCAGGGCCAGCCTGGGCTACCAAGTGAGATCCAGGAAAGGTGCAAAGCTACACAGAGAAACCCTGTCTCGAGAAAAACAACAAAGTCATCCCATATCAAATCCTATGGGCTAGCGGTGTGTAGTTCAGTGGTATAGAACTTAACTCCACATAAAAGGCCTTGGGTTTGATCCACAGTACCAGACACACAAATGCACAAATAACAAAAGAAATAAGACCAGTTTTGGCAAACCAATAAAGCATCCTTCTTTTAACCAGAGGATAATTATATTAATGTATGAAATGTCAAAATTATTCTGTCCAATTAATATAATTTATAAAATGTTTTTAAAGCTGAAAGGTGTAGTTTGACTAGCGAGTAGCATGCTAAAAATATGACCTTTCTTGCATAAGATACCATACAACTAATGTATTTGTGACTGTAATAATTTTCTAGCAGCCCTACTATGTAATGACCTTAAATTGAACCAGTGAACCAAGTCCTTTGTTTTTTAAAATATAAATTATTTGTAGTCTGTTTACTTAAAAAATCACTAATATTTAACATTCTGATAGAGAATCAAATCCTCATTTTACACCCTGTTTCATCCAAAGGCAGAGATGGCTATATCCTGGTCTACTCTGAGATGTTTAATTTCTAAGTCAGCCTTTGTGCGGTTGTTTCCTCTTACATAAAACAGAGACAGAACTTACACCTCATAAGGGAATTGGGACAGTATCTTAAAACATGTCTGTCAAGCATGGTGGCATGGAGCATGTCTGTGGTCCCAACCATTCAGAAGGCTGAGACAGGAGCATCACTTAAGCCCAAGAGTTCTGAGTCAGCCTGGGTGGTATACAGAAACTCCATATCAAAACCAAGTATCTTACCACAATGCTTGACATATAGCAATTATTATCAGCTCTCATATTTCAGTTTCACTCATAATGGCTTTCTTTCCTGTTGCGTTCACTCCAGCCCACACTCTATATCACACAACCGCATTTCTTCACTTAGGGTCATCTTCGAAGTTAATAACTGTTTCAATATCTTCATTAACTAACAGCTAACAGAAGGTAAGCTAAACACCTCCTAAATATGCCTATTCTCGTATATTAGGCTTTGGCTTCATAGAGTTCAGACTCTGTCAGAGAGCTTTTCATCTTTTCTCTAAACATTTTTGTTAAAAAGAAGAGAGAGAATAAGCTCCTGTCATAAACATTAGTTTTGTCCTTCACAACCATGTTTTATCTTACCAATAGCCTATGGCCTCTGGGAGCAAAGTCTCTTCCACTCAAGAATTATAATTGTATGCTTTGGAATATGAAAGAAACTCTCCTTTACAATTTGCAGTTTTCAGGTGCTTAATGTCATTTCTCAAAAATACCATTAAAGATACATTCACAATCTCTTTGATTTGTAACTATAAAAGAACAAACAGGTGCAGTTGAGTTGCAGGGAGGAGGGTGATAGTTCACAGAAAAACAACACAACTTTTACTTAGCTATGCCAGGTCATCAAAGAGTCACTTTCCAGAAACTTCAGGAAAGGGCTATCTATAACTGTGACCCATCTCTTTGTCTTGGGGGTGAAATCAAAATTCTTCTTTCTCAGTCTCTAGTCATAGAGCTTAGCTATCACATCACCATCTCATGTTGGTTGCTTTTGTAACTGGGCTTGGAAAAGTTAGATTTTCTCCTGAAGTGATCCCACCCAACTACCTAACAGACATCCCATTTTATTAGTATTATTAGTTAACCTTTCTCAAACTCAGATGATTTTTTCAAGTTCTTTATAAAGAACACAGATTTATGCGTTAAAATCACGATTACACATCTCCATAGTTTCCCCAG